CAGAGAAGGCCCTCCCCCTGGGGGTCGCCAGCCGACATTGCTTGGCCGACGGCACCCTGNTTTGCACAGAATGACCTGTAAGAGTGCATGTAATAGTTTGAGATTCTGGCTTAGCATTTGTCTGCTTTAAAGTTCCCTGAGATTTGGGTTGCTGTGCATTAGTTATTTATTTACTATGATCCAAGATCTGACAGAAACAATAACACCCCAAATATGAGAGAAGAAGAAAATTATTCTCAACTCTCCACAGTGGAATGTTTTACAAGGAATGCAACATTAATGCCCCTGATGATAAGTCTCTGCCATGTAACCATGGCTAGTAAGCCAAATGCAGGTTTAACGTTGTTAAAATGAAGATAGTGATCTGATTGGAGATAAATAATAGTTGCTTCTTCTGTCCTACTTTCGCCCAAGATATCCTTTAGAATGGCCATCCAAATAATATTTAACCCTCTGATTCTACAGTGCTTCTCCCTGTACATTGTAACCCTTGGTTAGTGATGGCAATTAGGACCAGAGTTGCTGTCACTAAGTGACACGGTCATAAAGTAAGACTTCATGTGATCGTGCTGCTTACTATTAGCAGTTGTAGTCCTAATTGTTGTCGCTAACCAAGGATTACCTTATCACAAGGTACAAGAAGAAATACTATAGAATCGGAGGGTTAAATAGTATTTGGATGGCCATTGCCTTTTCCATTGACTTTGCTTGTCAGAAGCCAGCAAAGAAAATTGCAAATAGTGACAACATAACTAGGGAATGCTGCAACATCATAACTGACATTGTAATATGATCTCAGGTGGTTGGAACTCTAAGGCCAGTTGTATCACTATTTAGTGCCATTGCTGAATGAGTGGTTGTTAATCAAAGACCAACAGTATTTTGTTTTGTATTCTCAAAAAAAAAGAAGTGATGGTGATGACATGTTTCTAAAGAACTAATGAGTGTCATTTTAAATAAAACTTTTATGCATGTATTCTATTTTCCATGAAATTCTTTCTATGAATAGGGATTATGCAGTGTAGCCTTCACAAACTTGGTTCTTTGAAGATATGTTGTAATCACAATTTCTGTATTCCCTGCCAGTATAGCTATTGCCTAGCTAGGGATTATGGGACTTATGGTCTTTAGAAATATGAAGGATCCTATATGGGAGAATGTTGGCTTAGAAAGCCCTCCATATAAACCTTGAGATTTTATTAATTGCAGGCTACTTTGTATTTATAGATATAGCTGCGGGGTAGTTTTTGCTGTAATTGAATTTTTATGAAATTTGTCTTCATGTTTCCGTATAAATCAAGCAGGAGGGTGCATGCATAGGGATCAATGGGTGACAAAGAAAAATGACTGGAATAGCTATTTTGGTTTTTTTATTATCCCATTTCCTTCAGGAGATCAAAGCAGTGTGCAGAGCACTGCCTGTTTTTAATTTTTCCTTACAGCATCAAATTCGTGAGATAGATGGGGTTGAGAGAAAGAGAATAGCCCAAAGTCACCTAGTCATCCTCTATTACTACAGGTGGTCCTCGACTTACAGCCACAACTAAGTCCAAAATTTCTGTTGCTAAGGGAGACAGTTGTTAAGTGAATTTTGCCCCATTTCACGACATTGTCATAGCAGATATGTGAATCACTGCAGTTGTTAAGTTAGTAACACGATTGTAAAGTGAATCTGGCTTCCCCATTGACTTTGCTTGCCAGAAGGTCGCAAAAGGGGATCACATCATAATTAATGTCATAAAATATGAGTCAACTGACAAGTGTCCCAATTTTGATCACGTGACTTGTGGGGGATGCTGCAAAAGCCATAAGTGTGAAAAACGGTCATCACTTTTTTCAGTGCTGTTGTAATTTTGAGCAGTTACTAAATGAACTGTTGTAAGTTGAGGACTACCTGCACAGGTGGACTTGGACCTGCATCTTTCCACTCTTAGTACAGGTAGTCCTGTACCTATGACCAGTTGCTTAGCAACCATTCAAAGTTAAACAGACCTCCCCAGGGCTACTTATGACTCGGATCTGAAGTTCCGATAGTCCCACCCCCCTCAGTCACACGACTACATTTTATGCAGAAAATCAGCATTTGCTTCTGTTTTTGGCAAAACACTGACAATTGAGTCACACTTAATGACCTCAGTGTTTCGCTTACCGTAAAATGAAAAGGTTATATTGTAAAATCGGATTGTCAAACTGACCGTCCCAAATTATGACCTTGATGGGAGGCTCCATTATGGTCACAACCCGAGGACTACCTATAGTCCAATATCATAACCAGCACCCTTCGCTAATTCTCATTGTGATCTGGTCTCGAGAGCCAAAACTGGAGATCTCAACTGAACTGACATTTTCCAACCATGAAGCTTTAGGGCAGTGGTTCTCAACCTTTTTAATGCCGCGACCCCCAACCGGTCATAAGTCAAGGACTAAACTGGTCATAAGTCGAGGACTAAACCGGTCGTAAGTCGAGGACTACCCAACCGGTCGTAAGTCGAGGACTTTCCCTGCCCGGGAGCGCCGCGCATGCGTGGTTCCGCCCCGTGCGCCGGCCGAGGCGTAGCTGGCAAGCGGCAGAGACGGAGCAGGCTGACCACCAGCTGGCCCAGCTCAAGGGAGGTAAGGCACCCGCCGGAAAAGGGGGAAAAAATGGCGGACAGCCTTGCTTGGCGACCCCCGTGAAATGGTCGATCGACCCCAAATGGGGTTGCGACCCATAGGTTGAGAACCGCTGCTTTAGGGTTACCTTGAGTCAGCGGCTTTTCCTCCGTCTCACCGAACATACAAGGCTGTAACATTGATAAAATGGAGAGTGACATTTTCATTATCTGGACATTCTTTATTATAATTTAATTTATTATTATTATAATTTAATTTATATACCGCCCTTCTCCCGCAGGACTCAGGGCGGTGCACAGCGTATTAAAAACAGTACAAATACAAAACATAAAACTACATAAACCAAGCATATGGCTGTAATAAATAGTCTCCTCTGTATAATAAGCTGATATTTTTCTGAGGGGACTCTTTTTTCCCCCCTCAGTATTTTACCTCAGTGGTTAAGAGACCATGATAATTTGCTTGGCATTTTTCCAACTTGCTGGAGATCGTCTTTGTCGGAATGTAATCATTTTGTGTGTAAAAACAAATAATGAGCACAATATTGATTTGAAGCTTTCATAAAGAGAAGCTGTTGGCAACAGGCTAGGTAGGTCTTTCAGGTTTCAGAGCTCTAATGGGGACAAAATGTACCAAATGCGCCTTTTAGAGGTTTCTTCAACACAAATGTCATTTTAGATACTCACCCCTCCACTTGCCGTGATGGTTATTTTCACACTGCTTTTAAATATCCAGCAACTGACCTCACTTTCCCTTCCTTCCTTGGCCACTATTTCTTTTAGCCACCTAATGATAGTGGGCATCAAAACATTTGTCCATCCTTGTCTTTCCTTTTTCCTCATATTAGCTTTGTGTGCCAGCTGAACAACAAAACTGATCCTCTGTCCCACAAGAAAAGAAGCCAAGGCATTATAACTCCTAATATTATATATATCCTCATCTTTTGGATAGAGATGAGATTTCCTGGGACTGGAGATAGAACTTTTTCCAAAGGCAACTGGACTTTCTTGGTTTTTTTTGAGGGGGGGGGGGAACTTTTCACTTCTTCAGAAGAAGCTTCTTGGATGAGAAGTGAAACTTTTTCAATAAAAACAACAACAAAGCCCAGTTGCCTTTTGGAAAAAGCACCTTTGAAACAACCATGTCCTGGATGATTGAGCATCTCCACAGATTCTGGAGGTAGAATTTTCCGCTAATAGGAAGCTGTTCTAGAAAAAGTGCTGTGGAACTTAATTTTCTTCTGGAAAAAGAGCCAAATTAACAGGCAATAACAATAATCTCAGATAAGTATATGCTAGCTATTTATTTATTTATTTATTTATTTATTTATTTATTTATTTATTTATTTATTTATTTATTTATTTATTTATTTATTTATTTATTTATTTATTTATTTATTTATTTATTTATTTATTTATTTATTTATTTATTTATTTATTTATTTATTTATTTATTTATTTATAATACAGTTAAAACGAAGATGGACATAACGTAACATTCCAGAGTAAATATTCCTAACAATTTGTTCCTCTTCATACTTATAATTCTTAATCTCTATATATACATATTTTTCTATACAATACAGTCTCTAATTTGTTTCTCTATATACTAACATACAATTATATATATTTCTATCTTAACACTAACTTAAAACCCGAACAGTTCTCCTTGATTCACACCAGTAATAAAATTTGTCCCAGATTTCAAAGTAATCTGACTCTGTCTTGTCCTTCATTTCCATTGTGACCCCATCCATATCAGCACACGATAAAATTTTATATAAAATCTCTTCCTCTGTTGGAATTTCTTTATTCCTCCAGTTTTGTGCATACGCCAATCTAGCAGCCGTGAGAATGTGTAACATCAAGTAAAATATCCCTTTGTCGTATTTCTGCATGGTTATGCCTAGTAAGAAGAATTCTGGTTTTAACTCTACCTCTATCATTAGTATTACTTCCAGCCATTTTTTTATCTTGTTCCAAAAGTCACGGGCTTTTGAGCACTCCCACCACATATGTTAATATGTCCCTATTGCCAAATATAAATATATGCTTTGCATGTGAAATGGGCCTTATTGTTGAGGAACAGTGAGAAGCAACAGGTTGTCGTTAAGCCAGAGCTAAACAGATAAAGCTAGGATGAGATGGTTAGAAGGATCTGAGCATATGGTGTTTGCTGCAGATGAACATATAGTCTTCGTTGCAGTGTTTCCTCACTTCACCTCTGGCCCATAAATGAGTGTTTCAGATGTCGGTGAAAAAATTCTATCATCACAACATGCCATTAGCAATTTGTTTCAGGACACATCTCTTTGAGCAGCCTTAATTTAGTTAATATATTGTTTTTTTCTCTCCAATAATGTTTTATCTTTTTCTCTCTCTTGACAGATCTTGAATCTAACGGTGATTTAAATAATGATGATTATGAGTATGAGGATGAAGCTAAACTTGTCATATTTCCAGACCACTATGAAATTCCTTTACCCAATATAGAAGAACTGCCAGCACTGGTGAGTGAATGAGAGAATGGGATAGCCAAAAAGAGAAATTTAAGGAAGTCAGTTGACTCTTTCAACATACAGGAAAACCTGTATAGACTTGTTACTGCTGACACAGATTATTATACTTGCCCAAAGTGTATTATGTCATGCAAAGATGGTCAACTACAAGATTCTGGGATTTTTTCTTTTAAAAAAATACATCTATTTATTCTATCTGCATACCATTTTATTAATACAAACCAAAGTGGATTAAAAACTGATTGTCAGCAACTGATTATTATCAGTCCATAATAAATATAATTAAAATTAAAACAATAAAACATATGAAGGATTTGGGCTTGGCTAGTCTAAAAAGAAGAAACAGGGGTGACATGATAGCAGGGTTCCAGTATTTGAGGGGCTGCCACAAAGAAGAGGGAATTACGTTATTCACCAAAGCATCAGAGGGTAGGACAAGAAACAATGATTGGAAACTGACCAAAGAGAGAAGCAATCTGGAATTAAGGAGAAACTTCCTAACAGTGAGGACAATTAATTAATGGAACAGCTGGCCTCCAGAAATCGTGGGCGCTCCATCACTGGAGATTTTAAAGAGACTGGACAGTCACTTGTCTGAAATGGTATAGGTCAGTGATGGCGAACCTTTTAGAGACCGAGTGCCCAAAAACTGGCCCTGCCCCCATTCCACCCCCTGCCCCNGAAGAGGGAGGCCGGGCGATTATCTGATGACGCAATGAGGGTGGAGTAGTAATTAGACCTCACCACCCTCATCGCCACTAGGTAGGATCTAACATGTATCCTTACCTGTGTTCGGTCGGATTCGGTTCGGCTAGCCCTCCAACTGCTCTCTAGGCGTCTTTTCCGGCGTTTCATCTCTCTCAGCCCCTCGGTGAACCAACTGATGAACCAACTGATTATTATCAGTCCATAATAAATATAATTAAAATTAAAACAATAAAACATATGAAGGATTTGGGCTTGGCTAGTCTAAAAAGAAGAAACAGGGGTGACATGATAGCAGGGTTCCAGTATTTGAGGGGCTGCCACAAAGAAGAGGGAATTACGTTATTCACCAAAGCATCAAGAGGGTAGGACAAGAAACAATGATTGGAAACTGACCAAAGAGAGAAGCAATCTGGAATTAAGGAGAAACTTCCTAACAGTGAGGACAATTAATTAATGGAACAGCTGGCCTCCAGAAATCGTGGGCGCTCCATCACTGGAGATTTTAAAGAGACTGGACAGTCACTTGTCTGAAATGGTATAGGTCAGTGATGGCAAACCTTTTAGAGACCGAGTGCCCAAAAACTGGCCCTGCCCCCATTCCACCCCCTGCCCCGCCCCCGCTCCACCCCCATCCCGCCTGCCCGCAGGGCCACTCACCACCTCCAGGGCCCACTGCAGATCGCCCAGCAGCGCCATGGCGGCCACGCCCTCTGCCTGCGCCCCGCAGCATCAACTGTGCACGATGGGGCGTGAGGGCAGAGTCTTGTCTACTCTGTCTGGCTGCCATGTTCTTGGCTGCACTGGTCTGCATGGGCCATGCTCGGGGGCGACTCTCCTCCAGGGGGCTGCTGGTGAGGAGGGGGTCACGGGAGGCAAGGCTGGGACAATGGCACGTGTGCCCACAGAGAGAGTGCCGCCTCTGGCACCCATGCCATAGGTTTGCCACCACTGGTATAGGTTCTCCTGCTGGAGCAGGGGGTTGGACCAGAAGACCTCCAACATCCCTTCCAGTTCAATTCTATTCTAATCAAAGTGGCAACAATTCAAGAATAAATCTTAAAAATAGTGATGAGAAATAGATAAAAGACTTCATAAGCAAATCAAATGAAATAACAATGGCCAATGAATCAATAAAAGTAATTTAAAGCAAAATAAATTAAAATTAGTGAGGGCAAAATTTTCCACCAAATGCTCTGTGGAAATTTTTTTCGGTAGCTTCCAGAAGATCAGAAAGGATGGAGCAAGTCTTAATTCTAAGGGGAAGGTACAGGTAGTCCTCGACTTCAACCAATTTGTTTAGTGACCATTCAAAGTTACAACGGCACTGAAAAAAACAACTTATGACTGGTTTTTTTTTCATACTTATGACTGTTGCAGCATCCCCATTAATGGCCACATTATCAAAATTTGGACACTTGGCAACTGACTCATATTTATGACAGTTGTTATTAACTTAACAACTACAGTGATTCACTTAACAAGTGTGGCAAGAAAGGTTGTAAAATGGGGCAAAACTCGCTTAACAACTGCCCCACTTAACAACAGAAGTTATGGGCTCAATTGTGATCATAAGTCAAGGACTACCTGTATTCCACAACATTAGAGCACAAACTGAGAAATAGCACCTCCTGGCCTCCATTTCTGTTACTTCACCCAAGGCTCTTCTGGGAAGAACATACTGGATAGTCTAATCCAGGGCTTTTCAACCAGTGGTACGGGTACCACCTGTGGTACATTGGCACCTGGCAGGTGGTACGCGACCATCCTAGAAAAGTGGTAGCAGGGGAGGGGAATGAGCTGAACCAGTGGCAGCACTGCACAAGCCTGAGCGAGAGACAGCTGGAGCTGCAAGGCTGTCAGGGCTCAGCGGAAGCGCCAGGATCAGTGCCGCTTTCCAGCTGATTGGCGCTTCTTCAGGGCTGTCAGGGCTCAGTGGAAGTGCCAGGATCAGTGCCAGGCTCCAGCTGGAGCTCGGCGCTGATCCTGGAGCTTCTGCTGAGCCCAGAAGAAGCGCCGATCAGCTGGAATGTTGCAGCATCTCCAGGGTCTTGTGGTTTACATTCAGATGCTTGGCAATTGATTCATATTTATGATGGTCACAGTGTCCCAGGGTCATGTGAAGTGACCAAAACCTGCTGCAACCATTCAGCAGACGGGGGGAATAAAAACCAAACACCATCCCACCCCCGCTGCCAATCCTCAACAGAAATGCTCACAACAATGAAAATCTTGGACAGCAAGAAGAGCGCGGCCGGGCAGGCAGGCAGGTGTCTTGCTCGGCTGTGGCTTGGGGGATACTTTTTTCAGTGCCATTGTAACTTCAAACAGTCACTAAGTGAACTGTTATAAGTCGAGGACTACCTGTACTTTATCACTTTTTTCATTATTTTTTTTTGGTCATCAAGTTTTTGACCCCTTGCTAGGTGACTGTTGGTACTCAGATGTTGCCATATCCTAAAAGTGGTACAATGGGTGAAAAGGTTGAAAAGCCCTGGTCTAATCCACACAGGAAAAGGGGCTCCTACAGATACGTGGGTACCAAGCCATGTATGTGTTTATGTTGCCATCTCTAAGAATTCCTAGTTAGCCTCAAAGGTCAACAAGGCAATGTGTGCAAATGCTTACAGTTTAAGATGTCTAGAGAGTATCTCTGAGAGCACAGGAATTTATTTTCATGATCTCAACTAAATTTTGTATGAACCCAGACATAGTTTCTGTTTTGGTTGCATATCAGGTTTTTGTCATTTCAGCATAGGAAGAGAAAGGCAGTGACATTTAATTGATTTTCCTACTTAGGCAGATGCTTGCAAATCCTTGCAAATTCTGTTCCACCTTTTTCACCTTCTATCTAAAACAGTGTTTCTCAACCTTGGCAGCTTGAAGATACGTGGACTTCAACTCCCAGAATTCCTCAGCCAGCCGTGTGTGTATTGTGAAAGACAGATTCAGGGATGTCAATTCATACCTCTCTTTTGAATTTGCCAGATAACTTTAAGCAAATCGGTGTTTCTCAACCATAGTTCCACTATTAATTTGCAGTTTTTGGATGCAGTCAGAGTAATTTATACCACAATTGAAAGGATTACTGGGATTATGTGAGGGTAACAATAGGTCCTCCAGAGGACTACCTGAAAATGTTTACTATTGTTAGTGTTCTTGGTTACAAGCCAACAACAAACAACAACAAAAGGACCAGGACAAACCAAATAATCATTCTGCCTGCCTTTGATGTTCAGCTGAATTTTCCCTCCACTCCAGGTGACAATAGCTTGTGATGCAGTCCTCAGTTCGAAATCTCCCTACAGAAAGCAAGACCCAGACTCATGGGAAGAAGAGCTGCAAATCTCCAAACATGCCAACACTCTGGTGCAAATGGACAACGGGGTCAGGATTCCACCAAGGTGAGATTGTTGTGTTTTATACACAAAGAAATGAATTATTAAGGGAAGGAAGGAAGGAATATTTATGTTCCTCTATAGCAGTGGTTCTCAACCTTTTTAATGCCGTGACCCCCAACCGGTCGTAAGTCGAGGACTAAACCGGTCGTAAGTCGAGGACTACCCAACCAGTCGTAAGTCGAGGATTTTCCCTGCCCGGGAGTGCCGCGCATGCGTGGTTCCGCCCCCTGCGCCGGCCGAGGCGTAGCTGGCAAGCGGCAGAGACGGAGCAGGCCGACCACCAGCTGGCCCAGCTCAAGGGAGGTAAGGCACCCGCCGGAAAAGGGGAAAAAAAATGGCGGACAGCCTTGCTTGGCGACCCCCGTGAAATGGTCAATCGACCCCAAATGGGGTCGTGACCCATAGGTTGAGAACCGCTGCTCTATAGGTAAGGAAATATCTCTGAAACGATGACCCAACGGGGCACGGATTGTCCAGCAGTAATGAAAAGGAAGCTGTTCTGGTCATATTCTAAAGGGCTCATGGCATAGATAGAGAATACACAGCTGTCAGTTCAGAATTTTCTGAATTGATGATGGGATTGGGAGAGGAATGATCTCTCGTTATGATTTTGTTTCTATATATTGGGACTCTGATTCATGATGGCTGAGGGACGAAATATATTCCTGTTTCTTTAAATCGATAACTAAATCTTTTTTAGTGTAAAGAAGTAATCCTAAACCAACTCATTACAGATAGTTCTCGACTTAGCACAGTTAGTTTAGTGACCGTTCAAAGTTACAACGGCACTGGAAAAAGTGACATGATCATTTTTCACACTTAACGACCGTTGCAGCATCCCCATGGCCACATGATCAAAATTCAGACGCTTGGCAACTGACTCTTTTTTTTTATGACGGTTGCAGTGTCCCGGGGTCATGTGATCCCCTTTTGTGACCTCCTGATAAGCAGAAGTCAATGGGGAAACCAGACTCATTTAACAACCGTGTTACTAACTTAACCACTGCAGCGATACACTTAATAATGGTGGCAAGAAAGGTCATAAAATGGAGCAAATTTCACTTAGCCATAATCTCACTGAGCAACAGAAATGTTGGGCTCAATTGTGGTTGTAAGTTGAGGACTGCCTGTATATCATAATGCAATGTTGGCATGTTCAGGTTCAACCAAATTGATGCAGATTCATTCTGGTTGTGACTTTGGGTATCCTGAAGACATTTCTTTCCTTCCTTTGACTGCTATGGGCATCTACAGTTAATTGAAGCGGGTGGGATGGATTTCCTAAAATAATAAATAAATGAGGTGATCTTTTGCTAATCCAATTCCGGGTAGCTGAAAAACGAAAGTCAGCTTCATGCTGCCTGTTTGACTCTGGCAATTTGTTTTGCAGTGGCTGGAAGTGCTCCAAGTGTGACTTACGGGAGAATCTTTGGCTAAACCTCACTGATGGATCAATACTTTGTGGCAAATGGTTCTTCGATGGCAGTGGAGGAAACGGACATGCGCTCGAACATTACAAGGAGATGGGTTATCCCTTGGCAGTGAAGCTTGGAACGATTACTCCTGATGGTGCAGGTTAGTGAAAGCTTGTGCTGATGATCAGCAGCAGCCTTTTGATCTCTGTACGTTGTTTTTCACTACCGGGTTTCCCCGAAAGTAAGACCTACCCTGAAAATAAGCCCTACCTTGATTTTGGGGGTTGGGCCTAATATAAGCCCTAGTTTGGGGGCAAAGCGCATGTCATGTGTCTGATTAACGAAACACTTAAAAGGACTTTCAGGCATATTTTCTCCTAAAAGCATTTATTAAGGTTACAGAGATGTCAGTACAGCATGGTGGAAATGCTTAGGTCTGGCTTCTCTTCCGTTACGCATATACATTCTAAGCATTCCCCCCCCCTTATTTTGGGGTCATGGTTCACATCTTCCAATCAACTTGGAAGATGTGATTTACTTCCGGTTTCTTTTTCCCGGGCTATTTTTATTCTCCTCCCTTTTTCCCTGTTGCCTGGTTTAACTATAAAAATACCAGACAGTTCTGCATATTGTCAAAGCAAGAATATACAGTATTTGCAGCGTTGACATCGCACACCTAAAAATCAAACTAGGGTAGGGGTGGGCAGGTGGAGCTGCCCCACGCGTTGTGCACCCGCTTACCGTTGCAGCCTGCCTCTCCTCGCTGGCCTACTTCTTCTGCGGCGTCCCTTGGCCTGCATTTCGCAGTCAGAGGCCTTCTGGGAAAGGCCTCTGACTGCAAAATGCAGGTCGGGGGACGCCGCAGAAGAAGTGGGCTGGCTGGGCGGGGCTGTTGGTGCCGGAGGTGAGTGGAAAAGAACCCCCCCACACACAAAATAAGACCTGGTGCCTCTTTTGGAGGCAATTTTTTTTTTTAAATAAATAAGACCAGGTCTTATTTTCGAGGAAACACGGTAGCACTGTAGAGATAGAGTTACCAGTGTCCTAAAGGTGCTTTTTCAAAAGGCAACTGGACTTTGTTTTACCCTGAAGACGTTTCGTTTCTCATCCAAGAAGCTTCTTCCATCAGAACTGGATTCATATCCTACCCAGGCAGAAAACATACAGGTAGTCCTTGACTTACAACAGTTCGCTTAGTGACCGTGCGAAGTTATAACGGCACTGGAAAAAGTGACTTATGACCATTTTTCACACTTATGACCATTGCAGCATCCCCATGGACATATGATTTGCATTCAGATGCGTGACAACTGGTTCATATGTATGACGGTTGCAGTGTCCCAGGGTCGCGTGATCCCCTTTTGCGACCTTCTGACGAGCAAAGTCAATGGGGAAGCCAGATTCACTTAATAACCGTGTTACTAACTTATCAGCGGCAGTGATTCACTTAACAGTTGTGGCAGGGAAAGTCGTAAAATGGGGCAAAACTCGCTTAATGAATGTCTCACTTAACGACAGGAATTTTGGGCTCAATTGTGTTTTTAAGTCGGGGACTGTCTGTACACCGGGGTTCCTTCTGAAATGCGAGTGGCCTTTGCTCTGTTGTCCTTTCACAAGACCAGGAAGACCTGACTCTTCTCCCAGGCATTGGACTTAGGATGTCAATAGGGGGAGGCTTCAACAAGAGTGTATATGATTTCTGGTTTTATTGAGTCTTTATAGGGCTTTTTTTGTTTCTTTCCCCCTGCTTTGGTTTAATGCAGTTCTTTGTTTCTGTCTTGTTCAGCACCCAGAATTTCTTGGAAAGATCCACGGTCATAGAAAATGGATAAGCAAACGAAATTGTTGGAGATGTAACTAGCATTTTGCTAGTTTTAACTTATGCTTCCAACAGCTTTGGGATTAATTAGATGCCCCCCCCCCAAAAAAAAATCCAACCCCAACTTTTCAAAACCGATGTGACAATATGGGGTACATTTTAATGTTCGCATATATTTTATGTAGTATAATGTGCGACTCTGTGTAGATTCGTCGGTAGCCTGATATTTTCTTTGGCTTCCTTTACTGCCTACTTGAAGAGTATTTTAAAAACAGAAGCTTAAAACTGAGCTAGGGCATATTGATGAATTAAAATGTATTCTGAAAAGGCAAACATAGATAAATTCGATTCATTAAACTTTCTTAGGCTCTTCCTTAAAAGAGTTCAAACGGCATATCCTTTTTTCCTTTTCCAGAGAAGCCATGTAAGGTAGGTTAAGCCAATAGATAAAGGTAAAAATTTCCCCTCTCCAGTCAAGACTGAATATCTAGGGCAGGGGCCTGCAACCTTGACAACTTTAAGACTTGTGGACTTCAGCTCCCAGAATTCCTCAGCCAGCATAGCTGGCTGAGGAATTCTGGGAGCTGAAGTCCAACAAGTCTTAAGTTGTCAAGCTTGCAGGCCCCTGATCTAGGGGGTGATATTCATCTCCGATTCTTAATCAAGGGAGCCAGCATTATCCAAAGACATTTCCATGGTCATGTGGCCAGCAGGACTATATGCTGAGGCACATGGAATGCTGTTACTTTCCCACTGAAGTAGTACTTATTTATCTACTTGCGTTGAACTGCAAGGTTGGCAGGAGCTGGAGCAAGAACAGGAACTCACCCCATCATGCGGTACTCAAACCCGGACTGTCAGATTTCCAACTGACAAGCTCGGCGTCTTTAACCGCTAAGCCATCTTGCTCCCAGGTTAAGCCAAGACGGTATCAAGTCCAAGGTCTTCCAGTGATGTTTTGTAGCTGAATGAGGACTTGTGTTCAAATTGGTCTCTCTCAACTTTAGCAACTTTTATGATGTGTGGACTTCAGCTCGCAGAATTCCCCAGCCAGGCTGTTGCCTGGGGAATTCTGATAGTTGAAATCCAGACATTTAAAGTTGTCAAGGTTGAAAAACACTGGGTTAGATGAAGTCCAAGGCAACAATTTGACCTCAGTGGGACTTCAGTAGAGACAAACAATTTGAAGTATTGCTTTGTTGGTTTTTTTTGGTTCTGTGGCATTCTGCTGGGGGTAATCCTTTGTCGCTTCTCTCTAGCCGGACATTGATTGCTCTTAAAAATATCCATGCAAGGTCCATTTAGAGCCACACTGACGCAGAAAAGTTGACTGGGTGTCATGCTGCATCGTGACTTCACTGAAAAAGCATGAGGCCTCTCTGAACTTATGTTTATAGAAGGGAACAATAACTCGCAGTGGGAAACAGAGGCTTTCTTAAATTGGAATGCCAGCAAAAGGCCATGTGTCGTATCTATAAATGCCAATGGCATCATTCTAGGTGGACACAAGGAGGGAGAATGCTGGGCTTCATAAATGCTTGGCAGAAGAATAAATAGAGGTTTCCCCTCCCCCCAACATTAAGCAATATATTTTCTGAAAAGTACAATACATGATAATGATGATGTTATCCATTCAGTTGTGTCTCATTTAGAGACTAGACTAGACTAGACTAGACTAGACTAGACTAGACTAGACTAGAATAGAATAGAATAGAATAGAATAGAATAGAATAGAAGAGTTGGAAGGTACCTTGAGGGTCATCTAGTCCAACCCCCTGCCCAAGCAGGAGTCCCTACACCCTTTCTGACAGATGTCAGGCTCTTGGTGGTTTTATGGGCCAGGTCTCTCCACATCTTCCAATCTTGCACTATTTCTTTGAGTTTTTCTATGCTCTGGCGGGTCTCAGCTTTGATAGTGTCCAGCCACCATGTTTTTTGACAGCCTGGTTTCCTTCTACTGCTAACTTTTCCCAACATAATTGCTTTCTTCATTGAATTCCCCCACATGACATGGCCAAAGTAAATGAAGCACAGTTTCGTGATTTTGCCTTCTAGTGACCTGTCTGGTGTTATGTGCTCCAGGACTTGCTTCTTCTTAGTCACCTTTCCTGTCCAAAGAATACACAGGAGACTTCTCCAACACCACAGCTCAAATGAATAAAGATATACATAGAAGGGCTCAAATATATAGAACAGTTCAAATTTGAAATGCTATCAGTAATAACATGTTTTGTGTCGTGCTACTTAGCTTAAGGGGATTTTAGCAACAAAGAAAAACAAATTTAAAAATTCACAGGAGATCTAAAAATCTAGGCCATTCTTCTTTTGATTTGCTAAGATCTGCTGTTTACAACATTATGGTTGTTGCTGGAACAATATCCTAATGAAAAATCATGAACTATTCATCATCGAGTGTATCTTCATGATGAGCAGATCTTGTCATATTTGTAATTACTATACTTGATCTTCTTGTCAATATTCCCAGTTGTAGTTGAGTCTCTATCACTACAGCAATAGTATTTTCCATTTGATCATTTGCAAATATTAAGAGCCCAAGAGAAAGAAATCCACATCAGCCAGATTCTATAATTTGCTCTGAGAGAAAAAACAGATATGGAGGTAAAGCTCACCGGTGCCAGTTTAATTTAAGGGGACTTGCAATATAAAAGGGTTAAACAGATGTAAACAAGGGCCATTATGACATCTGTCTCCTGCAAAGAAGTCCTTTAGTTAGCTTGACTGAAGTTAGAGACAGTGGCTAGAATCATTCTTTGCCAGTCCTGTAATTCCAAGTGGGTTGAATTACAATAACTCACTGTGTCAACATCCAGCTCGAGAATCCAAATAAAAATCCAGGTTCATTCTGTTTCTGAAACTCTTACTGTTTATTGAATACACAGCATGGTAATGTTGAAGCAAAACTAACTCTGAGGTTCCCAGACACCAGTTCATAGAATTAAACAATACTTTCCCCAGCCAAAACCCCCAATCTCTCACGGAGTCCATGTAAACAATTTCACTTTGGTGTGGGAACCGTCTGCTCCCTCTCCATACCTGCTGCTGGTGTCCTTGGAAAGGTTTCAGGCTTTCATGGTCTTCAGCAGAATTGTAGGGGTTTCGTTTCTCCATCTAACCCATTCTAAAGCAACACCTCCCCCCTTATTCTAATGGCAAGTTGAAACAAAGAGGCACTTAGCTGCCAAAGTTTCATTCTTGACACACTGTCTCTGGCCCAAAAGAATGAATAAATGAATGAAATGCATGACAATTTATTTATTTATTTAATTAAATTTATATCCCCCCCACCTTTTCTCTTGGAACTCAAGTTAGTATACAGGTATTCCTGGACTCACAACAATTCATTTAGAGACTGCTTGATCATGGTCACATGATCAAAATTCAGACACTTGGCAACTGATTCATATTTATGATGGTTGCAGTGTCTTGGGGTATGTGATCACTTTTTGCAACCTGCTGACAAACAAAGTCAATGGGGAAGCCAGATTCACTTAATAACTGTTTACTAACTTAACTGCTGTAGTGATTCACTTAACAATTGTGGCAAGAAAGGTGGTAAAATGGGGCAAAATGTAACAACTGTGTTGCTTAGCAATGGAAATGTTGGGCTCAGTTGTGGTCATAAGTCAAGGACCACCTGTGTACATGCTCCTGAATTCTTCCCTAATGGCAAGTCTCTTTGGATAAATTGAGCTGAGAATAGTCACTGATCCAAAGTTACCCTTGAGTTTTGGTGACCCTGAATTGGGCAGGTCCTTATCCTGCAGCTTAGCCACTATTGCATAGTGTTTATGATTTGCTGAAAGTTGACTTGGAATCTTAAATTGCTTCTCCTTCCATAGTAAATAGAGAATTTCTGTTAGAAATTTTTTGTTATCATGCCTCCATGATATGTAGAACATGAAACTGTTAAATGCTATTGATAGATTACATTTGGTGAATTGTCCCTTTGTTCTTACTTTTGCAGATGTTTATTCCTTTGAGGAAGAGGAGGCTGTTGTGGATCCTCATGTCGCCAAACACTTATCTCATTTTGGAATTGACATGCTCCAAATGCATGTGGTAAGTGACTTGCTTTTTATGAAGTTGCTGTCCTAAATTTATTCATGTATTTATTTGCAAAATTTATTGGCCCCCTATTTTACCTCAGGATAACTCTTACAATCTTAAAATGATAAAAACTATACAAAACCTAAAAGACATAAATAATATATTGTAAGATCGACCGAAAATGCGATTTAACTATGGGATCCATGTATTGATTACAATTACTTGGATATTTCAGCAGGGGGAGACATAGTCAAGTATACAGTGTGTCTCAGCAATTGTAAAATAAGGTATTTTTATGCTGAGTGGCAGTTTCCTTTTGGGATGAATGGGATGTATGATTTTTCTTTTAAATATTCTGGCTTACTACGTTGGTAAAAATCTTCTTCTTCTTCTTCTTCTTCTTCTTCTTCTTCTTCTTCTTCTTCTTCTTCTTCTTCTTTTTCTTCTTCTTCTTCTTCTCCTTCTTCTCCTTCTTCTCCTTCTCCTCCT